GATCTTGAAATAGGTTTTGATTGTGGGTCGGCCGTCGATATAGGGAGGGAGTGCGGGTATGACGGCTCGCGTTTTGCGCTGGACTCTAGAGGCGAGAGAGGGGTTGATGTAGGCGGCGGCGTCTGACTCGTCGTCGTCATCGGATGGGTCTGAGTCATGTTCGGATGGGGAGTAGGGAGCGTTAGCGAAAGAGGGAGAGTCTATGGTATCACCATCTTGAGGTGGTGAAGAGGCCAGGTTTTGGAAGCCCCATTGTGGAATACCGCGAGTGGGTAGACGACTGCGATGGCGGCCAAGACTACCGCTAGAGAAGAGTGGGTTGCGCAGTCCTAGAGAGCCGAGAGCAGGGTCGGGATCTCCACCACTGCCAGAGGTATCCTCTTCTGCAGCAGGATCCATGAACGGAACTCGGGTGCTGCGCCGCCGATCACGTCGGTCACTACGCATGAGCATCTCGCGCTCTAGCTGACCGATACGCTCATCAACTGAGCCATTGTTCTGTTGGCTGAGACCGCTGACATGTCCAGTCTCATCTACCTCTCGCTCCTTGGCACGGTGGAGATATACACCCAACTGGATATTCTTGGCAGAGCGCACTTTTTGGATGTAGATGTTCCACAAAGAGCCTGCGTAGGATACCGTCCTCGAATAGACGCGCTTCTTCTCTTTGAGAAATCGTGGATTAGGAAACTCAGCCGAGAAGCGGAATGGAGGAAATTCGGTATAAGCGATCGGTTTTGGCTGACCAGCGTTGCCGCCACCAGCAGAGATTGGGCGTTGTGCAAAGTCCATGCGAGTATTTGGGTTCGTCAATGTCGACGGGGTAGAGGCAAAGTCGGTGGCCCATTGCGCATCCTCTGGCTGTATCGTGGCTGATAGGCGTGAAGCATGGCGCTGAAAAGAGTTGGATGTCGTAACAACAGGATCTGCGCCGTTCCCCAAGACGATATTGCAGTCAGAGCTTGGGATCCAAAACTTCCGTGGCTTGCCATTTCCGTCCCAACTATCCGACTCGATGTCGCCTTCGTCGATAGGATCCGCCAGCTCTTTTTGCTTTCCTTTGTTAGTGAGCTCGCTTCCAGTCTTCGTCGCCACGTTCGCTTCTTCGGGGTCTGGAGTTGATTGACATAGACCCAGCTCCTGAGCAGACTCATCGGTGTTGAGCACCCTCTGGCGAAGAGCCAGTTGCTGCCATAGCGCATTGGAGATGACCCTTTCGGGCATCACTGGTAGGCCAAATACGTCGCGAGCGTTCCTGATAAACTCAAGCTGCTCGTATTCCATGTGAATGTAGTGGATGCCTTCGTCTAGCAACACGAGTATGCGCTCAATGTCGGGCAGAGTGTAGAGAGCAAGCCAGTCAGCCTGCGCGTCGGACGAGGAATGCGCCGTTGTCAGGGCGTTCTGTCGATAAACACCGTCGAAGCGAACTGCCATAAGACGAAGAGAGTTGGGTGCTTGTGGGATGGGTCGCTGTCCTCGCTGGATAAGGCCAGCCTCGATAGCTGCTTGACGTAGCCGGCGGTCGAGAAGACGCTTGGAAAGTACCCAGCGGTCCCATTCGCTATCCACGAAGAACCCATCAGACCCTACGAGCTCACGGACTATGTCGCCGGGCATATCGTCCCAGTATTTGAGAGGCATTTCCCAGCCGTTCCTGCTTAGCATTGCCTTGGCCGACTCAAGTATGCGGTCTCCAGATCGGCCATAGTAGTTGGAGGTGACTAAGCGGATGAGGTAGGCAAGCGTCTCCGGTGCCATCTGCCGCAGTATGGATTCGATCGCAGAGTCGATGAGGTCCTGCATTTCTAGCCAGCAGCCAGTCGCGAAGAGACCAATGGCTTCAGCGTCCAATTCTTTCGAGATGTCGACGCCATAAAGTTTACGTATAGCCAGCTCGAACGATGCCTGCGTAATGCTGGAATCGATCTCTTCCGGGTGTAGTTTGACTTCCTTGGACCGGCTTTCGAGCCATGGCTCAGAGAGGGCGGTCGTGAAGAAGGGTGCGCGGTCGAGGATGAGGCGGTGCAGAGGATATCGCTGGCCAAAGGCGATGATGGTAATGTCTGAGTGCCGGCCTTCGAGCAGCCCGCGGGTGTAAAGGTGGTCAGGAAGAGGTATGGCTTCGCCTGAAACTGGCAATGTTAGCCTGTACACACGAGAATCTCATAGTAACACTCACCTCGAAGATACAATGGTCCCGTCGCGTTGTTGTAGGAAGGTGCCCTGGTTCCAGGCATGGCTGCGCTCTCGCTAAACAACCTACTAATGTCGGTGCGAACAGAGTGCTCTGTACGCATCAGGTCCAACGTCGTGCGCCTCTTGCCTTGTTCTTCCAGCGGGGTGTTTGGATCATCGGCGCTCTTTTGGGCTTGGTCTATCCGGGTTTGCAGCTGAACTATGGGCGGTCGTTCCTCTTGACCGTGAGCTCTGGACGCACGCGATGTCATGCTGGAGTAGTTGGCCAGTGACGGCATCGAGCGCGAGTAGCTGAGAGACCTCGAGTGGCTCACGTGTGCCCTGGGGCTGTCGGTGACGTCGGACGGCGCAGACGGTGGTATGGCGGGTACATTGGGCGAGAAGAGGCTGACGTATGGGGTACTACTTGAGCCTGCGCCGCCCTCTGTACGCTCTCCCTCGCCCAACGGCCATGTTTCGTTGCGCTCTAATCCACCAATCTGCGGCTCATTCTCATGATCGAGGTTGTTGCTCCCGTGACCTGTGGGTGGTTGATGGGCGGGATCCATGCTATGCTATAAGCTGCTTTGGAAGTACATGGAGCGTGGTGGTCGACGACGGCTGGGTATGCGACCGGGGCGGGTGGGGTAACGCAGTGCACGCCGGGTCTAATAACACGGGATGGTCACGTACGCAATAAGGAGACGGTGGAAGTCATATAGGAGAAGGGAAGATAGCGGTCGCAAAATACGGTGGAGGCTGGGCGCATCACGCTGCCAGCACGGCAGACGCCAAATGGCGATCTTCACTAGGAGGGGTCCGGTGATGCAGTTGCGAACCTGCGGAGTGGGTCGTCGCTTCCGCCTGTCAACGGGCGTGGATATGCAGGGTTCGTTCTTGGCGCGCCGCCGCGCCGTCGAACCACCGAAGTGTCAAAGTCGATGATGTGCACACTTGCTGCCCTTGAAACTTCCTCCTTCCTCCCCACATGTCGCTGTAATGGCTTCAATATTCCAGGCATTTCCGCAGCTGCGGACTGCTGCTCCACGCCTCTCACGACGCCTCTTCGTATGCAGGCCATGCCTCAATTCGCCGATTCGAGCCGCCGTCTCCGCTTCACGATCTTCATCCCGACCCTCCGTCCTGCAATCGGTGAGGTGGAAATCCACCCAGCCTCTCCGCAGTACCGCGACCATCGAGGGATCGAATGCGGGAAGGGCGATACTCGCGGAAGCTGCAACCAAGACTGAGAGCCAGTCGAGCAGCTTCCCCAAGACAACCTCCAAGAGCGTCGCATACTGGCTGCTGGGCAGTGCTGCGAGCGTTTTCGGTATAGTTGTGTTTGGTGGTCTGACTCGTCTCACAGAGTCTGGGTAGGCACCGACGTCATCTCCTCCACCGCACCTGCTAAGTTGAACAGGCTGAGCATCACCGAATGGCGCCCTGTCACCGGCTCCCTCTGGCCCATGAGCCAGGCCGAATGGGACAGCGAGTTCACCAAATACAAGGCATCACCTGAGTTTGCCCAGCTCAACTCGAGTATGGACATGGCCGACTTCAAGCAAATCTACTTTATGGAATGGGCTCATCGTCTCTGGGGTCGCGTCATTGGCATCACGATGCTCGTACCAACCGCGTACTTCATCGCACGTCGCAGGGTAGCACCTTCAATGGCCTGGAAGCTCGTCGGCATCTGCGGCATGGTCGGCTTCCAGGGTGTTATCGGCTGGTGGATGGTCAAGAGTGGGCTCAAGGACGACCTCTTTGAACCTGGTAGCCACCCCCGTGTCAGCCAATACCGCTTGACTGCCCATCTTGGTGCTGCATTCACCGTCTACTGCTCAATGGTATACTCCGGTCTTTCTATCCTCAAGGAGAACCGCATGCTGGCCGACCCGGTCAAGGCGGCAGAGACCATCAAGACTCTGCAGCACCCTGCACTCCGCATCTTCAGACGCTCTGTCTTCGGTCTTACTCTTCTCGTCTTCACTACTGCCATGTCAGGTGCCCTGGTCGCTGGTCTCGATGCCGGTCTGATCTACAACGAGTTTCCGTGGATGGGCATGGGTCTCACCCCACCCAGGAAAGAACTATTCGACCCCTTCTACAGCCACGTCCCAGACCAATCAGACCTGTGGTGGCGCAACATGCTCGAGAACCCGTCTCTCGTTCAGCTTGATCACCGCATGCTCGCAACAACTACCTTCACTGCCATTATGAGTCTGTTTGCATACACTCGCTTTGGCAAAGGTGTGCGAACTAAGCTTACCAAGGATGCCCACAAGGGCGTCCAAGGCATGGTCCATCTCGTCACTCTTCAGGTCACCCTCGGCATCAGCACGCTGATCTACATGGTCCCTACGTGGTTGGCTTCCGCACATCAAGCCGGCGCTCTTGCCTTGTTGACTGGAGCGGTCGTTCTATGCAGCAGAATCACCATGCCACGCCGCGCTGTCCTTCGCCAGATTATGAAGCCGCAGAGTGCGGGATCCCACACTGCTCCTCATATGAGGTCACGACTTGAGGCCGCTAAGACTGCTGAGAAGTCATTGTAGTATACGTCCCCTCCTTGTACGATATGTAGGTTCGAACAGCATATAGACTATATCACCTTTCCTTGGTTCTACGTTCACTTTGTCATTCGCTTGTCTTTCGTCTCATGACCGCAATGCATGCGGATGCTTGGTATAGACATCAATTCATCGCATTGATTGAAGGTGAGTATAACTACTTACATCAAGTATTTGATCTTGTTGCTCATACAAAGTACTCGATAGTGGGGGAGCGGAGTCACATTGTCCCAGCTGGAATGTCAGTGAGGACTACAGTACAGTGTGCTCTGCCTTTTCCGTCGTATGTCCGGCCTTATTACCGCTGGACACACTACCCGTCTCCACCATAGTCGCAGGATCGGTGCCAACCGCTTGTTCCCATCCTTCCTTCGCAATACGTCGGCTTCGCTTCACGACATCGCCTTCGTAAAATAGCCAGTCGACCTCTTCCAGCGTAAGATTAGCAGTCTCGGGATAACAGAAATACTACACAACACGTTAGCGAATGGAGGTTCCAATATCGTTTCGAATACATACGATCAGTGGTATGAACGCAAAATTCAGTGCCATGAAGATAAGGTAACCCTTCCACGCCAAGCTATCGAGAAGTGTAGGCGTGACCATAACGACGAAGAAGTTCCAAATCCAGTTTGCTGAGATCCCGACAGCTGTCCCTTTCGCTCGTACATGTAGCGGTAGGATCTCGGGTACATAGACCCAAGGAATGCAGTTCATTGTCATACCAAACGCCAGCATGTACTAAGATTTGTTACCTTCTCATTCCTAATGCAACGCATTTCTACTTACAGTGAAGAAGAAAGCGACACTAGCAGATGCAGTGGCCTGCGACACGTCGCCTCCTTCAGACCGGAAGCTCAAGAGGATGGCTATCATCATCATGGATAAGCCGAGCCCGAGAGAGCCCCACATCATGGGTTTCCGCCGGCCGGTGCGGTCCAGTGTGAAGGTCGGGAAGAGAGAGCCTATTGGGAACATCAGATTGATGACGCCTCCCATGAGGAGGGCGAGGTTTCTGTCGAGGCCGACGTTGTCTTCTAGGACCAAGGTAATGTAGTTATTAAACTTAATAAATTAATATAGAATAAGATAATAGAGTAAAGTAAAGCTCTACCTCTCTTATATACCTAAGAAGTAGTATTTATATTTACTATAATATAAACTTACTCTTTAACTAGAAGCTTCTAGTTTTATCTAATACTTCTACTAACTAGAGGCTATTACTCTATTAACTTTATACCTAATATATCTTAAAGTAATAAAAACCTTTTCTTTATAAATACCTTTATAAACACGTCTACTATATTCTCTTTACTACTTACTCTCTCTAGTAGTTATTTTTCTTTTTATATATAATCTCTAAGTATATAGTATTATATCTTAATATACTTTACTCTTTAATAATATTTAGAGTTATTTCTTTATTAAATATACTAGTATAGAAATATAAGTATAACGTAGTTAAGTAATATAGTATATAATTATAATATAGATATATTTTCTAAATATCTTATTTTATAGTATTTAGTAGTATATATATTCTTTTAAAGATTCTAGAAATTAAAACTAAGCTATAAAGTTTAACACTCTTAAACCTTATATAAAAGTATAAAAGTAATAAGCTAGAATTTAGCCTAGATTCTATAAAGAAAAAGAGAATATAAGTATTATATTCTATATACCTCTAGAGAGGTATTTAGAAGTTATATATATATTTTATTACTCTTTAGAAGCTTTATATAGAAGTAGAAAATAAAAAAAGCTATAACTATAAAAAAAAAGTAATAAATATCTAAGAACTTAAGTATTTAAAGCTAGTTCTAAAATAAAGCTATAAAGTAGATAGAGCTATATAGTAAGTAAAGTAGTAATATATAGTAGTTTATAACTCTAAACTTAATATATAATAAGTATTCTAAGTAAGTAAAAAAATTTTATAAAAAAAGTTTATAAAAAAGAGTCTTATACGCGTATATACACTAAACTCTTACCTATAGTTAAAAAGTAAAAAAGTCTACTATTTAGCTTTTTTTTTTCTTTTATTTTCTTTATTCTATATATTTTCTAAATCTATCTTTATATCTATTTTTTAAAATACTAACCTATAATAATAAGAATAATAATAATATATTAGACTTTCTTTCTATATACCTTTTAATCTACTCTCTCTTTAAAATAGCTCTTCTATTAGTTATTTTAGAATATAAGTTAAAGAAGATTAACTTTCTTAACTATATTAAAGATATTAAAAGCTATATATAAGTCTTAAAGAAGGTAAAGCTTTACTTCTTTAACTTTTAATTTAGGTTTAATATTAATAGAAAGCTTAAATACTATATTAAAGATAAAATTCTTAGTATAAAAGTTTATATTCTTAGTAGTTTCTTTAAGAACTTAATAAGTAGTAGTAGTAGCTTTTCTAAGTATATAAAGTACTCTAAGATATAGTACTAATATTAGCTAGCTCTTAACTACGCTAAATAGTATAGCTAGCTCTTACTTATATAGACTAACTTTATAAAATATATATTATATACTTCTTAATACTATAACTAGATACTATTAGTACTATTCTAAATAGCTAAGCTACTTAAAGTCTCTCTACTACTTAAGGTTTCTAAATAAGCTTATAATTAATAATAATAACTATAAACCTATAACTAAGCTAGTAATTTAAATAAAGTAGATAATTTAAATAATAGAGTAGTACTACTAGCTTTATTAATAAGCTTATAATAGAATACGTAATAAAAAAAAACTTTAGAAGTATTTATAGTTAGATTAATATATTAGAATAGCTAGTAAAGAAGTATAAGCGTTTTTAGAGTTATTCTAGAATATTTAAACTAGCGTATTAGAGTAGAGAATATATAGCTCTTTTATAGTACTATAGACTTATTACTATTACTACTAATTCTAAGATTTTCTTAAATATTTAGGTAATTATAACTATAATAAAAGTAGTAGTAGTAGCGCTTACTTTTAAGAAGAACTATATATAATATAGTAGTAACTACTAGATATTATCTATATATTATTAGTAGTAATAAATAAGTTAATATAAAATTATAAGTCTTTATTATAAATATATAAGAAAGAGAAGTATTAATAAATAGATAGTAAGTAGCGTTTAAGTCTATTAAGCTTAGTTTTAATAGCTTAAAAGTTTATTTATTTATTATTTATAATATAGTATAATATTATAAAATATAATGTAGTAGGCTCTATCTCTAAAGCCTAGAGAGAAAATATTTAGAGTTATTAGTAAGAATATAAGCGCTATTATTATTAATAAGTATCTTAGTTTTCTTTTATCTAATATTCTTTTAAATATCTAGACTTATTAGAATTTCTTACGTAATATTCTATATCTATATAACTTTATTTAATAAATCTACTACTATAATATACTCTACTTTCTAAGTTAACTAAGCTATAATCTTTTGTTTTCTTAAGATATATATAATTAGAGATATACTAAATATAATAACCTAGTCTATAGTAGAGTATTGTGTATTTTTGTATATTACCTAGTTACTATTAGTATATCTAATTATCTAAGTTTTATTATAAGTATTATAGAATAATTCTATTATTATTATACTCTTTAGATATTAGAAGATCTAAATTACTACGTTTATATAATTCTATAATAGGTTTAAGTAATAGTGTAATACTACTTCTACTATAAAGGCTATATTAGGTTATATAATAATTAATAAGTATAGTAGTACTTTTACTATAGACTAGTATCTCTTAATAAAATTCTTTAATACCTAATTAGTGTTCTTTTTAATTTCTAATAAATTAGTAAAGTATAGTATTAAAGTAGTGCTAATATTTTCTAGTTAGTATCTTTCTAGTAGTTATCTAATATATTCTTATTAGTAAAGATAAATTTTATTATCTATTTAATACACTTTAATACTAAGATAATACTAGTATAAACCTATATCTATTAGAGTAAAGTAGTCTAATAAAGTTTTCTTCTAGACGCTAATATTATCTAAAGAATCTTCTATAAGTAGAATATTATCTATATAGATTTCTATAATTAACTTCTTATTAGTGTAAAAGTATAATAAAAGATTATATATAGATACTTTCTATTTTATAGAAACTAAATAGTTTATAAGCTTTTAATACTATTATTAAAAAGCTTACTTTAGACTATATAGTACTTTTTATAGTTTTAGAATAGTGTCTTCTTTAACAAAGTATTTAGATTATTCTATATAGATATCTTCTTTAATATCTCTATATAGAAAAGCTATTTTAATATCTATTTAATAGATATACTATCTATATTAAGTAGCTAATGTAAATAGTAGATAATAAGATAATATCTTTAGAATAGTAGTAAATATTTTATTATAGTCTAAACTATAACGTTATTAAAAACCTTATACTACGTATTAAGCTTTATATATATTAATTATACTATTAAAGTTAAGTTTATATTTTAGTACTTATTTTCTTATAAGTAGCTTTTAGTTTTATTAACGTTTAATATAGATCTATACTTTATACTTCTAGAGTAAGTTATATTCTTTATTTATAGCCTTTTTCTATAAAAGCTATTTAGAGAATTATATAGTAACTTTAAGACTTATAACTTTAGATAGATCTTCTAAGACTTCTATATTATTATAGATTATTAGTATTATTATTTAGTATTCTTAAGAGTTATTCTAATTATCTAAGACCTCTAAGTAATATAATTAGCTATCTTAATCTTTACTATAATTCTTAGCATTTTCTTCTCTATTATTACTATTATTACTACTATTATTATTATTACTACTATTACTATTATTAGAGTCTATATTCTTTATTTCTTTATTACTTAGTTTATAATCTAAATTATTTTCTTCTTTATTATTAGATAATTTAAACTCTAAAACCTTCTCTTTATCTTTACTATTAGAGAATTCTAAAACTTCTTTTTCTTTACTACTATTATTAATAAAAAACTTTATATTCTTTTTATTATATCTAGAAGTATAGAAATAAATAGAAGATAAATTATTATATTATAAGCTTACTTAGAAAGCTTTTTTAAGTAGTAAAGCTTCTAAAAGCTTATCTTAATCTATACTAGTATAATTATATACTATACTCTTAAAAAGTATCTAGAGGTACATTCTATAATATACTCTTTAAGTATTTTATAAAAGTAGGCTATATAGTTATAATAAGCTCTTTTATTATAGCTAAGAATACTAATTATATACTTATTAGAGCGTATATAGTACTAAGAGCTTACTTAGCGTATATACGCTAATTATAATATTACTAAAAATTATTTAATTAGCTAAACGCTTTTTATCTCTTATTTAAAATAAAAGTAAGTATTTCTAATTTTTATTAGTACGCTTACTAACTTTAGTAGTATACTTTATTATACTAATTAAACTAAGTATACTTCTTTATATCTATCTCTAAGCTTTCTAGTATTATATTAAAAAGAAATAAGTATAAGTATAAGAATAGCTACTTTTCTAAGAATAAGTAGTTTAGTTTTAGCTTTATAAGCGCTTTTAAAGTAACTTCTTTAAGCTTTAGTTATATAAGTATATTAAAAGCTAAGCTATTAAGCTTTAATATCTCTAACTTCTCTAAGTACTTAGCTACTCTTTTTAAAGTAAAGAATTATAAGTACTTAAATAAGCTTTATAGTATTTTTAAAAACTCTTTTAAGTATAGTTCTTCTAGTAAGAAGTAAGGCTCTAGTTCTATAAGTACTTCTACTTCTACTTATAACTTATTTACTACTTTAACTTATACTTCTAAAAAGTCTAATCTATTTACTAAGTATAGTAATATAGTTACTTAAAAGTAGGCTAATAATATTTTATATTATAATAAGCGCGCTATCTAAAAGTATACTAATAAGTAGTATACTTATAATTTTAAAGCTAAGAATAAAGTAAAGTAAAAGTATTATAACTAGATTACTTATAAGTATTATATTACTAGTTAAGCTATAAAAAAAGAGT